ATATAAACAAGATGTTTGAAACATATGCTCAGAAAGAAACAGCAAAAACAAATGTTATCTATTCAAGATAAAATGTATTTTGAAGTGTATTCGCGAAGGCTTTCACGGCCGGGATCGAATGGTTGTTGTGGGTCTTTGGCCATGTTCTGAAGGTTGTTCTTCCTGACGTTTCGCCAGTCTCTCTGGCCGGCATCTTCAGAGGACAGCACTCTGTGCTCTGGTTGGGCTCTGTGCTATTTTGAAGTGCCACAAATATTTTGTATTCTGGAAAGTTACATGGCTGGGCAGTCTGCAGCTTAATGTTATGTAGGTTTACTTAGAGGAAAGTCCCACTATATTCAGTTATGCTTACTCTCTTGTAGGTGTGCATGGTTGTGCAGATTCAGCGTTTAATCTTTTAGCGGGGGTATATTCAGCAGTCTTCCCTTCCCAGTCAAAATGAAGGGTGCTTTTTGTGTATGTATGTGTATGTTTAAAGGGAAATTGGCTGGCATTTATTGAAGAAAGTTCATAGAGGAATTGAAAAAGTTTTCTACTGCCAAATTGTTCTTTCAGGTTTGGGACCCAAGATGTTGTTACCAATAGCAACTACAGAGAATTTGTTGGAATATACACTTTTTTTTTTACAAAGTGTGTGGGGAGGACAACGGGCCCCAAGTCTTCAGTGACACAGCTTTAAACTTTATTAAGTCTGCCATGGACTCTCTTTTCCTTTCCTTAGTTAAAGAGGAGAAAGGTTTGGCAGCCTTCCTGCTGTGCTCTTGATTGATGCAAAGAACATCTGAGGGACTTTTGTTTCCTAGCCTGCTCTCCATGAGAGCATAATGTGTGAATACTCAAATAAGGTCAGCCCTTATCACATGTAATCTAGGCCTGAAAGCAGATCAACAGTGACAGTCATACCCTATAAGCAAGAACACAAATCATCCAATGCAGACTTTGGGGGGAAAAAAGTGATGGGATTTTCTCTCCTCTGGATTGGAAGGATGGGTGGGGGAGGGGTGAGAGCAAGAGAGCTGAAAAGCCACAGAATGCGTGCTTAGAATGTAATACTGATCATTCAGGGAGCTTTGGGGAGGGGGGGAGAAGGTGGGAGGAATTATTTATTTGTAGCCAAATGTAAGTCTTTTCATTGGGATTTTCAAGGGAGTTGTCCCAGGCCACTGTGACAAGTTGGGAATGGAGTGTGAAGAGAAGACGTAGGGGACTTGAGGGGAAGAGTCCCAAATCTGCTTTGATAAGGATTGGGAAAATGTTGAATGGTTTCTGTTAGACAAAGCAATAAGGGTAGTCGGTGTAAGTTATTTTGTAGTCAGTGTAGAGCTGGTTGAACAGCTCAGGGGCCAGGTAACTGGCTGTAGAGCCAGAGGGTTGAGAGTTCCATTGCCCACTGTACTTCTTAGGGGAAGAGCCAGACTGTGTAGCTTTGGGCAAGCTTCACAGTCCCAGGATGCCCCCAGAAGAAGGGAATGTTAAACCCTTGGAAAGGGTTGCCATAAATCAGAAATGACTTGAGGGTGTGCAGTTGTTGTTGTTGTTGTTATTGATGATGATGATGTTGTTGTTGTGTGTTCATGAGCACAAGTTCTTGGAAATAAATTCTCATTGTTTAGGTAAAGGTAAAAGTTGCTCTTGACATTTAGTCCAGTCGTGTCCGACTCTAGGGCGCGATGCTCATCTCCATTTCTAAGCCATAGAGTGAGTGTTTTGTCCGAAGACAGTTTCCGTAGTCATGTGGCCAGCACGACTAGACATGGAACGCCGTACCTTCCCACCGAGTTGGTACCTATTTATCTACTTGCATTTACATGCTTTCGAACTGCTAGGTCGGCAGGAGCTGGGACAAGCGACGGGGCTCACTCCATCGTGTGGATTCAATCTTACGACTGCTGGCCTTCTGACCCTGCAGCATAGAGGCTTCTGTGGTTTAACCTGCAGTGCCACCACATACCTCTTATTGTTTAGGGCTGATTTAAAAATAAAAAAATCTACCACGGGTCCTTCATCTTATAATGTTGACCCATCACACATCCAGCCTCAGGCATAGAATGACCATGTCCTTTCCAACATACTTGTTTAGGGCTGATTTAAAAATTAAAAAAATCTACCACAGGTCCTTCATCTTACAAGGATGTTTACCCATCACACATCCAGCCTCAGACATAGAATGACCATGTCCTTTCCAACATACAGTATTAGGATGCCAGTACAATAATCTGTTCAGTCTGCTCATGTTCCTGGAGTGTTAATGCCATGTGCTTGGGCAAGGCAACATAGACAGCTTCCTAGCTAATATGGTCCTTTTTGTATAAGTGTATGGTTTCAGTAGTAGTAGTAGAAATATTGTAATTTAGTTGGGATTGTGGAGTGTGTATGGTTTCAGAAGTAGTACTGTAGTTGAAATATTGTAATTTAGTTGGGATTGTGGAGTAAACTGATTCTTTTTTGTTACAAATGCATGTGTCAACTAAAACAAGCAGCTAGCTGACAAAAACAGACATATACAGTTTATGCAATCTACCTTGTCCTTAATTCTCTTTTATAATAAAGAGAAAAACTGTTATCAACCTATGGGTTGTGACAAGCATCAGCACTGTACATTTAGTCATCTGGGCATCTATGAGTGGTGCTAATATGCATGGACTGAACTATGTACAGTATTTTCCAAGATGCAGAAGGTGGAGAAAATGTGTTGATAAATTTCCAAAAAAAATGTAATTTTTAAAAAAGAAAGAAAGTCAGCATGTTTTTCTCTTTTGGCCTATTATGCTTTGCTTTATTTAAATTGCAATTATGTAAATCTTGCAGTGTTATGTCATTGCTTTTGAGTTGAAAGGGAAGAAAGACCGATTTTCTTGGTATACTTATTTTAGAATCTTCAGTAGGTAACAATTGGTTTTGTGCTCTTGCCTAATGAGTTTAGTGGCTTTCTGATACAGGAGAGTACACAGTAGTCTGATTAGAATTGAAAAAAAGCATCTACCAGCACTAGAGTTACAGTAGTGATAAGATTAACACATGTGGAAAAATGACATCATTCTCCAAACTGTAGGAAGTGAAGGAAAGAGCCTTTTTCCCCTTCATACTTATATTATCTTGAAATTTTTTATTGAAGCCTCCCATTCTAGTATTTAATATTATTGTCTGCAAACCTATCAGAGTGGGGAATTTAATATAGGTTAAATTACCTGTGTTCAGAATTCTGAAAGCCGAGAGTCCTGTTTATAAATGTGGCATAATCAAAACAGTTTCATGGCTTATTTTTCAGAATCACACTGGTGTTTTTACATATGGGACCCTCGATACTCACTAAAACAAAGTATACAACCTGGCTTCTTCATTACACCAGCACTATGGAAATAAATAAAAAGCTGTGAACTGTCACAGAGAATTCTCTTTATGATTCAGTCACCTCAATTCTTATGCCAGAAAGGCAAACATCCTTAGTATCATCGTACCTGTTTTTATTTTGATTTCCGATAATGATAAAAAATTGCTGCAGAGTAGGTCTATTGAATTAGTGAGGATTTGGCAAATCAACTTTTCTATAAATTCCTGTTTGTGAGGAGACTAGAGTAGGCCCATCAGAATCAATGGAATTAGAGATGGACACAAACTGCAGTTCTGCTGAGTTTGGCGCAGTGCCCATACAGTTATTCTGTGGGCACTGCACACTTCAATCCCCCACTTCCTTTTTGCACATTTGCCCACTCACAGAGTTGAGATGGAGGAGGGAAGCACACATTGCTGCTGGTGAGTGGCTGGCCACCAGCGGAGGCAAGCGTGCTGCCATCCGTGAATGGCTGAATAAATGAAGGAGGCAGGGAAAGGACCTGCGGAACACCTCTGTGAACACCACACTGAACTGAACTACCAAAGTGCAGTTCATGAGGTTAACTCCATGTGGGATATGGGAGTAATTGAGCCCTCCAACAACCCTTGGCATAACCACCTGGTCCTTGTTCCTAAGCCCAATGCCAGCATCTGGTTCTGTGTGGATTTCCAGCAGGTAAACTTGGTGTCAAAATTTGATGCCTACCCCATGCCCCAGGTGGATGAGCTGATAGAGAGGTTGGGGAGGGCCACTTATCTATTGTTCCTTGATCTCACCAAGGGATATTGGCAGATACCCTTCCAGGACATGGACAAGGAAAAAACAGCTTTCACCATCCCACTAGGGCAACACCAGTTCACATACATGCTCTTTGGTTTACATGGGGCAGTGGCCACCTTCTAGCAACTAATGGATCGGATGTTAACTCCGGTGCAAAACTTTGTCACAGCTTTCACCACCCCAATAGGGCAACACCAGTTCACATGCATGCCCTTTGGTTTACATGGGGCAGCGGCCACCTTCCAGCAACTAATGGAACAGCTTTCACCATCCCACTAGGGCAACACCAGTTCACATACATGCTCTTTGGTTTACATGGGGCAGTGGCCACCTTCTAGCAACTAATGGATCGGATGTTAACTCCGGTGCAAAACTTTGTGGCTGCATACATAGATGATATCAATGTTAACCCCGGTGCAAAACTTTGTGACTGCATACATAGATGATATCATTATCTTTACCTCTTCCTGGGAAGAACATTTGGGTCATTTGAGGGCAGTACTGGAGGAGTTAAGAAAGCTTGGCTGACAGTGAACCCATGGAAATGTAAGTTGGCGCAAGCACAGGTGACATATCTAGGTTTTGTGGTGGGGGAGGAGAAATTCAACCCATGGGGGATAAAGTTACAAAGGTGTCCTCCTGGCCCCATCCAAGAACAAAATGAGAAGTGCAGCAATTCCTGGGCCTCGCAGGGTACTACAGACAATTCATAGCCCATTTTTCAGATATTGCTGCTTCCCGTAACAGACCTGACCTACAAAAGATCTGCTAAACTGGTCCAATGGGGAACCCGGGAGCAGAGGGCTTTTGAAAAATTAAAACAGACTTTGTGTAGCTCCTACCTGGCGGGCTCCTGATTTCTCTCGACCTTTCATTTTACTTACAGATGCCTGGGAAAGAGGGCTTGGGGCTATTTTGGCCCAGCATTATGAGGATGGGGAGCACTCTGTTCTATTTCGCAACCAGAAATGATCACCCTGGGAGCAGAAGTACATTGCAATTGAGCAAGAGGTTCTGGCCATCAGGTGGGCTGCAGTATTACTTATTAAGAGCACCTTTCTTGTTAATCACTGACCACACACCCCTACAGTGGCTCCAACAGATGAGGGATGCTCATCCTTGGCTCACGCGGTGGTACTTGGCCCTTCAACCATTCACCTTCCACATACAATATCAAAGAGGACAACACCATGCTAATGTGGATTATTTCTTTAGGCAGGGACCATGGCTGAACGGCCCAGCTGAGGGGACTGTCCACTTGGAGGGGGGGAACATGTGAGCCAGCTACAGCTAGCTGGGGGGAGGAGCTAAATGCCAGTGTGGGCAGGTCCCCTCAGCAACAACTGGGGGGAAGGAGCTAAATGCTAGTGTGGCCAGGCCCCCTCAGCAACAGCAGAATGGGGGTTTTATTATTTATTTACTTATTTCATTTATACCCCGCCTATGCCAAGAGAAAAAGCTGTAGCTGTAGCTGAGGTAGATATAGAGGCGAATGAGCAAGGAGAGGGGAGAGAGGAATCAGACATTTGGGAGGACGCCTGGAAGTTTCCACCACCTTCGGAGAAGAGAGAAAATACAGTCGTGCCCCACTTAACGATTGCCCCGCATTACAACAAATCCGCTTTACGACGATGTTTTTGCGATCGCAATTGCAATTGCAAAATGATGCTTTAAATGGGTTTTCTTCACTTTGCGAAGATCAGTTCCCTGCTTCAGGAACCGATTCTTCGCATTACAACGATCAAAACAGCTGATCATCAGGTTTTCAAAATGGCCACTGGCTGCTCAAAATGGCTCCCCGCTGTGCTTAGGGATGGGTTCCTCACTATACAGGCACCGAAAATAGCTGCCGCATGGAGGATCTTCGCTGGACTGTGAGTTTTTAGCCTATTAGAATGCATTAACTGGGTTTTAATGTATTTCAATGGGTTTTTTATTTTCGCTTTACAACGTTTTCGCTCTACAGCAATTTCGCTGGAATTAATTAACATTGTTAAGTGAGGAACCACTGTAGTCTGCTGGGGGAGATGCTGAAAGGAGCTTCTAAGAGGCCTGCATCTCCAGAGAATGGCTGGCTTATCTGAAGGCAAGTTGAAAGCTGAAAGATAGACGCTCCCAGGGACAGCTGGTGCTGCACAGCCTCCTCTGCTGGCTGGATGCTGTGCTGGGGGACTCGGCTGGCAAAGACTGTATAACAGCCTGGACCTTCTAGCCAAGACAAGCTGCCACGGGAGTGAATTAACTCCCTTGGAGCTGGGGGCCGGGACAGAATATTTTCTCAGGACTGGAAGGACAGAAAGCTACCAATCCCATCACTGCTGCTTGGGGCTAGAGGCCCCATCCTGCAAAGGACTACAGAGACACTGTTTTTCTTTTCTTTCTTTTTCTTTGTATGCGGAGTCCAATAAAGCTTAACTGCTGCCTCATGGATACAGTGGCTGGGGCTGCTCACAACAGAGTTGTCACTTTGTGTTTGATGAGACACTTTTATGAGGATTTTCCAAACCTCCCGGGATACCACGCCTCTGAGAGCCAGACAAGGAGCATTGTGTTTTTTTTTTTCTCACCAAAAACTTTTGTGATTGTATCTGTGAACGAAGGTATTAGAAATAGTCAAATTGCACAATTTGTTATGTTTCTGTTCAAGTGCTTTTTGAATTATTTTGCTCAACGGGAGAAAAATACATATTTTGCTTCCACCGCTTGTTGTATATGCCCACAAAATACCTAAGGAGGACAATAATTCTGTGATTCCCTGAGAATTTACGTTTCTAGTATGAATGTTGAGGAGAAAGGCGTACGTTTTCCTCAGAAGCATATTGCATTGCTTCCTCTTTTTTTTGAATGGTGTGTCAGTGATTAATAAAAGCCACCTTTTTGCAAACTCTCCATATGATGACAAGCAAGTTCTGTTAGGAAAAGCTCAAAGTGGCTTTGAAACTAAACAGACACATTGAAGATACATTAAGAACTGTAATAGAATCAGCTTTATGACATGAAAAATGCAAGATGGGCCACAAATCTGTTGAAGATATGTAGCAAATAAGTTTCTAACACAAACATACCAAACTACACCTGCACAGGAAGAAAAGGAAAACATGGAGAAAACTGTACCTGGGAATCCATGCATACTTCACTTGAATAAGAATTTCAATAATGTTCTTTTTCTGTGTTTCCTTACTGATTTTTCAGTTTTATAGAGTTAGCTTTAGCTTTATACATCTAATACCTACATTATCTCTGAAGTATAGTTGTTGTTGCAGCCACACTGTTATCACATTTGGACTTTTTACATAGTCCAGAAAGAATTAGTAAAAAGCTATGCAGTCTTAAAGATTGCACAAATGTAAGAGTAGGGTGATGCCTATATTGGACCAGTTAAAAGAAATCAAACAAACTGCAAACTTTTGTGGAGAAAATACAAAAGGCTGAGTATTTATTTATTTATTAGATTTTTACCCCGCCCCTCTAGACCATGTCTACTCTACAGTACCACCCCTTCATGGATAGCACAGAAAAATTGTAGATAAGAGTCCCAAAAATTTATTGTAGATATCAGTGTCGTGTCTGTTTGTGTGTGGTGAGTTCAGACTTAGGTTGCTAACGTCAGCTGGGGGTGGGTTCTCAAGCTCCGTCCCTTGCAACATGGTTGGAATTTTCCACCCCAAACGTCAAACAAAGGTTTGCTAATTGCTCTGTGATTGCCCTCCTGCACACACCCACGTATTGTCTACTTCTGCAACACAAAATTTCATTTGGGTTGTAAGGGGAACCAACAAAGACTCAGCAACCTCTGTTAGAAGTCTGGCATCACGATTTAGTTTATTCACCAAGTAGAACAGCAAATTTTAGCCAAATTAGTCAAAATAATAGTTTTACATGGTGAGTTGATGTTTGTAGGGCCCTCAAACAGATGAATTGATGTTTCTTCAGCTTGTAGACCACCTTTTTTAGTGGTCCTGTAAAGATATCACCCTACTCTTACATTTTGATTTCTGTAATTCAGAAGGCATCTTCTTCCTTTCAGGCAAAGGCTGGAAGTCATTATATGCCTATTGTGAGCTCAGATGTGACAGCTGTAGACAATGGTGTTATGTTTCATTCAAATCACTCTCTGAGATTGTTCAGATAGAAGATTCCTCCCTTCTTGCATTTCTTCTTGCATTTCTTTTACCTTGAATGATCACCTGTAACAAAATGTGCTTTCCATGTCTTATTATATCACCAAAATACTGTAGTTTTCTGCATTTTATGTGCCTAACAATTTATTGTTTTTTATTAATTTGTCTTCTTGATGCAAGAGGTTCTTAAAATCCCCCTATAAATTCACATTCTAAATCAAATACCTCCTTTTTGTTGTCGCTTGTGGTAAAATCCTCGCTTCCATGCCTTATGGCTGAACTCGGGACAATGTACAGTGTGCATTCTTAAAGCCAACTTTTAACTTGTTACTTATCACATTCTTCATCTTCAGGAGGCTGCTCCAGGCTATCTCTGTTCTGACTTTCTATTGCATGGCTATGATTCCACTGTTCATGCAGCCAAGGGGTTCCATTAAGAGATACTTACTAGAATGTTGTTGCCATATGTTAAGCCATGTAAAGCAAATCATGACAGTAGCAACATTATTTTTTAAAAATAAACATTTCCAGTTTCTTCCCCAAAGGTTTCAAGGCTCCTAAGTGATCATGTTCATCGCCTGGAAGCCGTTGGGCAGAGGGAAGTCTTTGTTTGCAAATAAAATAAAATATTTAAAAAAGGTTGCTGGTGGTAAAGTTATGGAAATGATTTTCAGTAATAAAAGACTACCCTCTCCACAGCCCCAGTGTCAATGAAAGTTATTACAAGGGAGCCTCAGGATCTTCTGAGGAGAAGATAAAAATTGTAATTTCTGAAATATTGCAGCAGCAGCCGCTGCTGCTGTTGTCAGCCACATATGGCCTAACGTACTGAACTCCTTACACTTCAGCCCTCAAGTGTAAAGTCTGATCATGTGATTTTGACAAGTATGTCCCTCAGTAGTGAGTAGTGTCACATCTCTAAGTTCAGATGCATGGGGTGTTTTTAGTGTAGATTTGCTTTTGATGCAGTTAACTGATGCAGCTGGAATCGCACTATGATATCAGCTCTTGAGCACATGAACATCATTTGTGACTGCCATGACAGCATGTATGTGAATGCCCCTTAATTGACCCAGCACTATAGAATGAACAAACAAGTGTTAGGTAATAGTACCTAACATTTTGCCCAAAATGCAAGTAACAAGATAATTTTAAGTACCCAAAAATTTGGCATGCAGAATGAGAATTAGAGATAGAGTCTAAGAAGGGACACCCTGTTCACACCACTGGCCTTACACAATATTCACTTTTATCTATACTTCAAAAACATATTTCCATGTGACACTGAAGTACAAGGTCAAAGCTCCCTGAATGAGTGGAAGGTGCTTCACGATTTTTAAAAAATCCTTATCTCACGTGTGCTTATAAGGAAAATGTGCTAAGGTACAGCCGTTGATTTAGTATGCTTGTTTTTGTTTTCAAGTGTGGTGTTTAACCAGGAATTTAGCTGAGAGGAGGGGTTCTGTTTTTCCCATATATGTACCGTATGTGAGGAATTCCGAAGTTACATAAGCCATTGAAGAAGGCCAGTGGTCAAAATTGTTTAGTGTTACACAGGTCTGTTTTTGTATTCATTTAGAGGTATATATAAAAAAGCTATAAAATTTCATATATTCATTTGTAAAGTGTATGTGAAATTCATTTATTTAATAATTTGATACTACTGTATCCACATACTGTACATAGTAAACTGGTGTTTACTGAATCAGGCCATCAGTTAGTGATAATTAACTGCCGCAGGTTATATTAACACCTATAGCAGTGGTTCCCATCCTTGTGTAGCCCATGTGTTCTTGCACTGCAGTTCCCAGAAGCCTTTACCACCAACTATGCTGGCTGGGGTTACTGGGAGTTATAGTCCAAGAACACTTGGGTTACCCAGTGTTGGGAACCACTGATCTGTA